GGTCTTCGAATAGAAGGTTTCGTTAGATAATTTGAGTCAAATTACTTGCATATTTCAGCTGATAAACATCATTGATGTGTTTCTCTGCGGCTCGGCGGAGACTCTGTCCCCTCGCTACCTGCGGAAGGTACGGCGCGAGGAGAGGTGCGCTGCAGGTGTGTTGCAGGGTTGGTATCGCTTCTCGGCCTTTTGGCTAAGATCAAAGTTTAGTTTCTGTTCTTATCGAATTAACCCTCGATAGAGTCTCGAATGAGTCTCGTTAAGGTTATTTGATTTTTGGAGCCGGATGAGGTTGCGGGCTTGCTAGCACCTCATCACGGGTCGGCCCAGCGTTGCACTGCTGCAGGGAACGGCCCACACCCCCAAGGGGGTGAACATGATCTCGCATCTTGAGAAAAACTAGCAAATATCCATGTTTCTCTAGAAAATAAGCTCCCAATTTCGAATTCGCAGTGAAGTGATTTTGTGGGAGCTGAAGGTCTATGTCATAGTAGATTGATTTCAAAGAAGCTTACAGCACGGGAAAATATCCGGAATTAACCGTGATATTTGCGAAGTTCTTTCACCTTCCAAGGAAACATGAGGGTTCATTTGAGCTTCATGGCATACTCGATATGTGAGTATTGTCAGAATACGGCCTGGTTCCGTTGAAACGAGTTCACCATTAATAGATCTTGAAAAGCCTCGTTATCAGTACCAGAAAACAAGTTGAGACGCTTACTAGTATGATTTTTGCTTTCCCACCAGCAGATCAAAAGTGACCTTAAACGAAAAATCACTTCTACAAAGCTGGCGAAGCAATCAGATTTGGCTTCGGGGCGATGTCTTGACAAATATGCAACTTTGAGGCTTTTGTAATTCTTGAGCCTTCCGGATGTGCTGAGCACAATGTATGCCTTGCAGCCGAAGATGTCAAAAACTCGCTGTGTGGAAGTGAGAACTGCCTTTTGAGCAGGAAGCGGAGGACAGTGTTTGGCCTTTGGCCACCTTAAGGGGTCAGTTTCCCCCTTCCCCCTCCAGCAGTTTTCACATCCAAGCAGCACTTTTTCTTACAAATTCGGAAGGGAGCTGTAACATACAGTACTGGACTCAAGCAATCACTGTGCACTGGCTCAAATAATTCCAGAATTTCAAATTTGCCGAGACACTGCCTTTATGATCTTAGCCTGCACTTTTGTCTGTTTGATTACCTTTTCTAGCATAACGAGCTAATGCTTAGTTTATTGTGCATCAACTAGAACCTTCCTTTGATTGGCTGGTGACCTTTCTGCCAGCTATTCCATCTGAACGCTGCTGGACAACGAGGTCGACGTACTCAAAAGGGTGAATCGTGCAGAACCAAGAGGAACCTGTAGGGTCTTGGAGTCGAAACCTTGAAATTCTAGCTATAATTGGAAAATTCTTAAGAAGCAAAAATGAGTGATTATTTTAAGGTTAGCATCAATCTAGCTTTTTCAAGCAAGATGAACAAGCGTAGCAATAGTGCTAGGATCACAACGACACTTCATTAGCCAACTATGGTCGAGTCATTTGTAACTTGCTTTGTAATATGCTTTTGTAATATGCTCAGTGCACACGATACACGCTAACTGACGAACTGCGAAACTAGAACCTGCTCATTTCCAGTGATTTCTCCTTGTTTCCTTATTATGATTATATGTTAGTCATTAGAACACATTTCTACATTTGTTGGGCTAGAAAATGTTTTACTGGGAAGTTACTAGCATGAGTGCCGTCGCTAATAGGGCTTAGTGTGCAATCTCACATATTAAGTTATAAATGACTTGAGATTAGTTTTCTGCATACGAATTATTGGCGCTATTCCAGTATCCGGGCCCCAAAATTTTTTTGTCGTGGATTTCGCTAAAACTTCGTCTAGGGGGGTTATTTGGTATGCTGAACACAAATGTGATGTTTATTTCATGCGATAGCGCCATCCGGTGGAGTTACGGTAAGATAACGGTAGGGGGTCAAAATCACGAATTTGCCCGAAACTTGGCCCAGAGGGGTTATTCGGCCCGCTGATGCTGAATATCACATTGGTTTTGTACCGTAGCGTCATTTTCTCGGGTTACGGTGGGTAAACGGTAGGGGGTCAAAACCTCAAAATCCGTTGCAGCTTCGCACAGAGGGATCATTCGACATTCTGATCAGAAATGTCATACTTTCTCCGCATAAAAACGTTTCCCTGCATGGTTACGGTAGGTTTACGGTAAGGGTCAGAAACGCAAATCGGCAAATGTTTCTTTCCCCTGCGCTTTGCTTAGGCAAAAGCCGCAGCAGAGAGTGTATCGCGTGGCGGTGGTCGTGTGTGCAAAGCTTCACGATCGTCCGAATCGCCGTACACCCGTTTCAGGCAGAACTATGTTTTACACCCGTTACCATGTAGCTACCGTAACCCGATAAAATGACGCTACGGTTCAAAAGCAATGTGATATTTGACATCAGCGGGCCGAATAACCCCCTAGGCCAAGTTTCAGCGAATTCTGTGATTTAGACCCTTTACCTATACCCACCGTAACCCCAGAAAATGACGCTACCGTACAAAACCAATGTGATATTCGGCATCAGGGGGCCGAATAACCCCCCTGGGCGTTGCAGCTGATAGTATCATTTATTTCCACCTCTGCGGCTAACAGGGGACGGAGTCCCGCTCGGTTACCTGCGGAAGGTACGACGCGAGCGAAGGTGCGCTGCAGGTGTGTTGCTGGTTTGGTATCGCTTCTCGGCCTTTTGGCTAAGATCAAAGTTTAGTTTCTGTTCTTATCGAATTAACCTTCGATAGAGTCTCGAATGAGTCTCGTTAAGGTTATTTGATTTTTGGAACCGGATGAGGTTGCGGTTTCTCGAACCTCATCACGGGTCGGCCCTGCGTTGAACTGTCGCAGGGATCGGCCCACACCCCCAAGGGGGTGAACAAGTTCGAGATATGGGAAATTTGTATGGTTCAGAATTTGCGCATTCTACCATGAAAACTCAGGGAGACGGTCAAGAGGCGCGATCTCTCCAGTGATCAACAATTTAACAGTCCAAATTAGCGCTAAGAGACTCAAGAATACCAGACAAAGTGTCCTAGTTTACTGACAAGGGAAGCATGTTCAAAAGTGGTCTTTTTAGATAAGATGTATACCATATTGGAGGACATAAAATGCTGATTATAAATCTGCTTTCCTTATCTGCAGAACGTTTATGGGCGGGGAGTTATGAGCGCTTATTGGAGCAAAGAATTGAATGTGCAAGTAGGACAAAAATAGCAGTTATACGTTTTCTAGCTCTTCAGTGGAGCAGTGATAATCATCATAGCACTTTATTCAAAAGAGTACCTTAAAATAAAAAATATGTCACACTTCGTGCAATATTTGAGGGCTAGTAGGTTTTTAGCAAATCATTTTATTCAAAAGGCATATTCAATTTTTCGCTCCAAAAACGCATACTCCTCTCCATAAACATTCTGCAGATAAGGAAGGCAGGTTTGAAATTAGCATCTTATACCTTTCAAGGTGATATACATCCCAATGGAAAAAGCCACTTCGACTAAACAAGCTTCCTTTATAAGTATCTGAAGCTACCAGTTGCTCAGTTGACGGCGATCGGTGAAAAGCAGGAGTTCCCAAAACCCAGCCGCCAACACAGCAAGTAGCAAATCAACCAATGCTGGAATAGCTGCACATAGAGTTCACGCATCTGAAATGCTCTAGCTAGTGGAAATGCTTCACATATACTGGCTGTGGGAAAACGGCTGAAAACCCCACACTGATCTGTAAATTTGTTCAACCTTACAACTAGTTCTAAACCCAGAGATGGCTATGCATCACACATTTTTTAGCCTTTTCGCTCCATAGCGGTTTCTTACGCGCAAATGTTCTCGAAACCACAGTAGCATAAGTAACCGTCAAAAACCAGCAGACTGCGTGCTTTGACTGATCTCGGCTTAGTTAAGGTCATTGCTGTATCCAAAATTTGTAAAACCACCCTGAGCCTTTTTCTAATTCCTGTTGAGGTTACAGTCTTCAGACGAGAGATCTTGGATAAACAATGCAACAGCAGATACTGAAAGTCTAAAAGGAGCATAATCTGGTTACGATGTTGTTCAACCTCCATATCCCATCGCTGGATTGCATTGATGTCTATTCTCATTGAGAAGAGGTCATTTTATGATGAGATGGCTTCCTCTGCGAATTTAATCGTGAATTGGATTCAGATGGGTTCCACCTCACCTGCACATTAGCAGTTGCCATCAGCGCTGTTTAGATGCCCAAATCATGCAACATTGACAATCGAAAATTGACAAGAATTGCTAAAAAAAATACTGCTCCTTTTGGCGATCCACACTTATTTGGCTGGTAGCTCGCCAACGGAAATGAAACCTTTCGCTCTTCATAATGACAATGACAATGCGTTGCCTTTCAGGCCCCGGGCATAAAGGCTACGGGATCACAAAGGCGCCGAAGCAGTATTAGTTGAGCGGGCGCGAACGCTACAGGCGCTATCTTCACCGTTGTAATTGATCCTGCGCCTCACGCGCTCTGCGGCTAATAGAGCCTCGTTCATGCCCGAAGATATTACTTTTTCGTCATACAGCAGCCTATACTTCATGCGCTTTCAGTCGCCACTCAATCTGGCAATCCGCCAAACGTCTTGCAAACCACAAAAACAAAGCGTACATATTTACGTATGACAAAATGCTCTGTCTTCCATACAAGCATGCGTTTACGGCCAAGAGGTTGGCGAACTTGAAGAAAATCGAAACTCTCACCAAAATTCGAATTCCTTTTGAGAACTGCAAAGCTTACCTTAAATAACTCGCTACGGCTACATCTGTACAAAACAAAAACCCCGTCGTCTAAGGGCCATGGAAGCAAAGCGAACGGATTGTCCTGCTCTACCCCAAATATGACACGTGAAGGAGGGGTCGCATGAAAAGACTCAATGAAACTAAGGCCTCCCTCATACCCGAGACATGCCTTATGCATAAGTTCAGCGGTAAACATCTACAGCCTGAGAAAATTACCCAATAATTTATCAGTACTCATAACAAAACGCAGAAACATAAATGAACACGTAAGTTGAAACCGAATATTGTGACACAGAAGGGTATAAATCGTCTCTAGCAAGTCCTAATCTTATCCTCCGAGCTGTTTGTAGAGTGTTGGTACGTAATCATCCCACTCAGCCTGCAAACAAAGTTATTTTTTACAGATCCTGGAAATGAGTCGTTTTACCTGGAAGAAGTTGCCCGCAATAGGGTTACCGAGCTTGTGCTTCTCAACAAACTTGGATGTCTTGAATCCACCTCTTCCATCACCGGAGCGATTTGTCAGATGTCCATGTTCCGAGTCAGTAATTTTACCGGGTTGCTTATACACCAAAAAGATGTAGCGGTGAAGACCTTCAAGAGTGCTGCTATAGTTCTTTACAACGAATAATGCTGCTATACCTACCAGTTCCCTTTGGAGGTCCAGCACCGATGTATTCAGCAAGGACATCGCCTTTGTCAATATCATTTCCAGGAACATTGATGATCAGCCAGTGGTGCCACTCACGATAAGTGGCCTCTTTTCGAGAAGGCGCATCAGGATCTACAAAGAAATGTCTAATTTGAAGGGTTACGGAAAGGAGATATTTGCGGTGATATCTGCATCTCATAATTAAAAACCCAAGAATGATGGAATCATAAGTCGAACCTGTGAGGATAACAGTATATAGCGCTCCTGGTTCCGTGTCCCATGTAAGTTTTGGAGGACTCTTCACTTGAGTTGGTGTCAGCACATTTCCTAACGAAGCCTCAAAACAACTGTGTTCAAACAGTAAACCTCCGACTATAGTTGAATTTTAAAGGGCCTCAAACTTCAGGAAACGCAATCCACGTGAAAGTTTCCAGCCTAAACCATACCTCAACACCACCTTCATAAACAGCTTTCGCAGTTTTCGACGGGGCAGTCTTCAGAACGTCCGGTATTACTTCGTGTTTCTTGAAAGCTTCTGCAGGCATCGATGCGAGTGACCTGTAAATGTTCTTGTATTTTTTTTTCGTAGGATCGCCACATGCAAAAGTACTTCCAAATACTGAGAAATTCAAAGAAAATGAGCCCCACGGAAACTCATGTGATAAAATGAGAAAAGCAGCAGTGGATTTTGGAAACGAATAGCGCCAAACGACACATATCAGAGAATGGAATAGTTTGGTATGCGAATGGCCCGAGTTAGTCACCAACGAAGAGCAGTTGATTCACTGACATAGAAAGTCGACAAAATCACAACTACGACAGAAACTCAAAGGATTTGCTCCCCGAACTTTTTTTTCTTTAATCAAAAAGGTTATGCTGAAACAGGGAAGGCACACGTGCCACTGCCGCTATCTACAGCATACAGCAACTAAAGAGCAGCAGCACGCGCTTGAGGACCTTCTTCAGCAGTAAACAAACTCTTTCACGTTTACACTCTCAACTAGTCAATTTGTTCATATCGTGATAAGATACCCAGTAACCAATTTCAGCAGCCTAAGACAACGATCACGGACTTAAATGATCGATTATTGATGAATCCGCGATCCTTAGGCACCCGCCATACTTAATCCACTTGGTCCGCTTAATCCGTTTCATCCCTTTCGCTACACAAATCAGTAAACTGACCGATAGCGAAGTCGATGAAGCGGATCAACTGGAACAAGTGGACATCCGCTTTTGTCAGCTCACTGATTTGATCTTCAGCGAAGTGGATGAAGTGGATCAAGCGAATTAAGTGGACCAGGTATGGCGCTTGCCTTACGAAAGGCAAGATGCGCTAATAGGTATCTATGCTCTGTTCAACTGGGTGACGAGTAGAGGGCTGAGCTCCGATTGCTAATTAGGCCTGAGAAGTAACTAGCACTTTCGCGAGAAAGAGAGGAGCCCAGAGTCCCGCCCACCACCCGCCACTCTCTATGATACAGAATGTATAGGCTGCTGCATGACGGAGGCGCAATATTTTTGGTAGGTGCCAGAGTAAGCGAATATTTTGTTCAGGTTGGGGTCACGCGCAGAATTGACGTCACTTGGATTGACGCCAGCATGGTGAGAGGCGTCAATTCTGCGCGGGACCCCAACCTGAACAAAATATTCGCTTACTGTGGCACCTACCTTTGAGCGCGAACACGGTTTCATTAGCCGCAGAGCGCATGAGGCGCAGGGTTTACAACGGTGACGATAGGCGCGCGGAGAGTTTGCTCCCCCTCAACTAATACTGCTTCTGCGCCTTTGTCATGCAGCAACATTCTAAGACAGATATGTTGGAAAGGAGAAACAAGGACCAGCCCATAAAAGACAAGCTTCAAAGCGATCAGCAGTGGCGTCTCAGAAGCATGTTCACCGGAAAGAGTTCCAGCTGTTCATTAAGAATACGACTATGACGAATGATATACCCATCAGCGTCACCAGCTCCACCGCCACGACCATCTGCGCTCGGGTCATCAGACACTTCTTCTTTTGTTTCGGGTTTTTTTCCAAAGCACATGCTCTAAATTTCCTATTCTTACAAGTTGGTCACCTTTCAATTCGAGCTAGGGTCGTAGAACTTCTCAATTAGATCATGATATCGTGTTGGGAATTTCGGCAGATTTTGAAGAGAAAGCCTTGCGCTATGTTGAGTTCACATGGTCCCTCTAAAAATTCCGCGAAATAAAAGACCGTGCACCGTTGATTTCTATTTTGCATCTGCACCATAAATTTGACGATCTATAGTCGGGTTTTTTTCCGCCTAACAAAATGCGCTTGCGGTACCGAAAATCTGCGGTAAGATTTTGCGTAAATATAGCTAGGCTTGTGGCGCCGGCCACTTGCGCGCGCAAAAAACCGGCATTATTGGCGTGGCTATTTGTTCACAGCAGATTTTTTCGCATTTTCTCGGCACCGAAAGCGCACTGTATGAGAAAATCTACTCAAAACTGCATTTCGACTGTGCGTCATGGGACCGTTTGCCTGTCAATCCTTTTAGCCGTAAGTAGGCTTGGAAAGGGGGAGGATGGTCTAGTCAAAATTTGGCACTCACCTGTTCGTAATCAGTTGCCATCAAGAATGACCAACTAAGCTCAGGAAGCTGTACTGACCGATCGGCTGTACAGACTTGTACGAAATGACCAAATGTTGGTACATCTCGTACAGGTTCCCACTTGTATAATATGAGTCAAACCTGTCCTCACAAAGTTACTCTGTCCAAACATGTTGCTGCACCTTTGACAAGTCCTCACTTTAGCCAAGGGTAGTCGTGTTCAGCAGCGTGCAAGCTGGGTATCGTGTCATCGTTTCAGCGAAGTACGGGGCCTGAAGGCACCATCCACCCAGATTCTCTATTTCCATCTTTTGTTCGTTCCAGGGCTGTCTCATGCCTCTGATTCCGAATATGAGTCGAGAATCTTCGAAATCCCCGGCAGTCCCCTTTCAACCCGGCCGCTTCTCCGGAGCGGTGATTGGATGGGCGCGCAAGATGGGCGAGCATTACTGAAGAGGCCGCTCCGACTCCTCATGCCTCTTCACTATTCCAAAGCGATTTTCTCGCTTCCGAAGAGACATTTTGCGCCGCAATAGGTATTGGCTTGATGGGGGGTCCTACTATCGTAGACTGCCAAAATCTCAGGATCCCTAACTTGGGGTGGACGGTGCACTTAAAGGCAGCGGCTCGGCAGATTGTACCTCAGATTTTGACATAGATGGATAGGAGGCCCTCCAAGTGAACCAAAACAGCAACTCCGCGCCGAAATTGTGAACTCTGCAAGCCAGGGAGCGGCCCAAGCGCGTCCCCTTCCTCCTTTCGCTCCCCTAACACCTTGTTCGGACGAGTGCTCTCCGCTAGACGGCGCGGGACCCCCCAGCAGCAGGGTCTTCGTGCCAGGGCCTCCCGACTTTCCTTAGAAAATTCTCGTCCGAGCTTTTGGAAATCGAAAAATCTCCCCGAAGAAGGCCTTTTCACCCCTTTTAAAGCTAAGATTCGGGATCTAAGGGTCGAGAAGGCCCAAAACATGCAAAAAGATGGAAAAGCAAAATCTGCCGGGACGCTGCCTCTAAATTGCAGCATGTGCATAACCATCAAATTTTTTGTTGCCGATTCGCGAATATTAAGACAGGATCACCTATTTCACCTCACACGGTCTCGATCAAAACGAGAATATTCGATAGGCGTACGCGCATAAGCGACGTCGAACTATGTTTGGAAATTTTTCGAAGATTCTCTATAATAAAGCACTTCTCTCATTCTGGCAGAGGACAGCTACGTGCAGCTGCGTGTCGGCTGGCACCAAAACTTCCTCAAATAATTTTGTATTCATAAGTTTCGGCACAATGGAAGCCAGATACAAAAGCTGTGAAATAACAGAATCAGAAATTGGGTATCAAATAGAGGGACGAAGCTGCTTTGACGCTTTCTAAATGGCAAATACGCTACAAAATTGGATAAACCAGTAAAGATGAAGCAGATATGTGGTGGGAATACAACAGAAGGAAATCAGGATACGCGATCCTGGAATTATATCTCTAGATGCGAAAAAAGACTTATACCGATAAACATGCTATGAGACCATGTATTAGATCCTCAGTTCGCTAGCATCATTTTCAACATTTATAATTTCTGATTTTTACAAACAATTTGATTGCTTTCAATTTTGTTCAAAGGAGTAAATGATGCTCTTCCTGGAGATTTCTTAGCTGCTCACTAATGACCATACATTGCATAGATAAGAACGATAGAAAAAAATTACTCAAATTTTGGATTTCCTGTGTAGAGTCATGAACAAATCTCCAGCAATAAAAATCGGAGCAGCCGGTTTTATAAGTGATTGGAAAAAAGCCAGAAAATTAAATTTAATAAATAAAATAAAATAAAGTAAAATAAAATGATATCCGTTGTTTTGAATGCTAGCTCAAAGATCAACTGATACCATCAAACAGCACAAACTTTGCTCATTTAGAAAGAGCAGTTAACAAAACCTATAACTCCGAATGCTCCGCTTTTTATTGCAATTTTCAGATCATTATAGGAACCAACAAAAAAAAATTCAAAATTTGACCGCCCCTAGCGATGCAATGTACGATCATTAATAAGCCTCTAAGGTATCATTACAAAGGGCATGCTTTTGCTCTTCCAAACAAAAATGAAAGCAATCAAATCGATTCAAAAAATCAAAAATTACGAGTTTTTGATAATGGTGCAAACGAACTTTCGGGAGGCCCTAATACTTGAAATGATGTGGATACGTCCACTACACCAGCATTTTTTTAAGGTTAAAAACAAGAGAGCGACCCCTTTTTTCGAGTGATGTAATGGTTTGCACTTTGGAAAAAGCTTGTTTAGCGCAGTACGGTGATGGATTTTTAGATTCATCATCAAAAGATAATTAACAGAAAGGGAATTCAAAAATCTATAATCCTTTGAAGCATTGGAGATAGGTATTGTTAGAGATGAAACAATAAAAATGGGTTGGATAAACCGTACAAGAGAGGTCTACCATAGAGAGTAATCTCAAAAAGCAAGAATTTCCTTTTTTCAGCCTCCTATCGCACTTCATCCGAAGTATGCATGAGAATCTGGGAAGAAAAGCGCTACTAACTTTTAAGGCGAAATCTGACATGACGGACAATAGATAACACTGCAAAACGGTCTCTAACAAAACAAGCCGTGCATTGGGCGTTCGCGAATTTTCCACGGCAGCACGTTGGGGCAGAAATCGATCCGAGCGCGTAAATAGTTTGCAAAGACGTACTTTGGCTGATATAAAAACATGGAGTATGAAACAGTGGCTCTAGGCTTTATAGTAGCCTAAGGCGAATAGCGCCTTTTGTGTGTTATACAGAACACATTAGCTGTTGAAGCTTTATGAACAGTCGACTAGCACACGTGGGTGCAATGGTAGAATGCTGTTGATAATAGGCGTGGTATAATAACATAACAGTATCACAGCCGGTCATGCTTATGGCATGACCCGTACGGTACTTCGGTGAGGATAAAGATACGGTTATTAAGAAGGTGCCGACAATGGCGGCACAGAGTACGAAAAAGCGGAAGAATGATGGACACAAATAGCATTTTCAGCTCAAAACATCCTACAACGTAATCAGTAGTACGTCTGAATAGGAGAAAGAGATAGGAGAAAAAGAAGCACAATCAGTCAGAAAGTCGGAAAGAATTTGAATTTGTCATTTTACTCTGTCTTTTCCGAAAATCGCAAAAGAGTATCTCTGACCCTCTTATAGTGCTGTGAAATAAAAGTGGAGCTGGCATTAATTGGCTAGTTATCCATGATTAATGCCACACATTGCCAAAGACAGCTAGAAAGAATTTATGTACACACGCAAGGCCCTCGCGCTGCGGTACGCACTTGCTACCTACCCAGCTGACACAGATTGACTAATGGTAAAGGTTGTCTTTCGCGGTCTCAGTTCCCTTTCGAATTTTCGAATTTTACTGTAGGAAATTATGCCGAATTCTTGTAAATGTAGGACGGGATGTAGATCGCGTTGGTAACCAGAAAACGATTACAGCTTGCCATACACTGCAAGATATGCGTAAAAATACTTTGTCAACACATTTTGCAGAACGTACACAGGAGGAACATCAAATCATGATTTCAAACACATTTCCTGGGAACAGGATTGGAGCCATTGTAAGTAGTTATATAATATGTCCTAGATGATCATCAAGGCTATCTTCTATTGTGTAACAGCCAATTGACTGAGGTCAAAAAATACTTTCAATCAGACTATTAAGAATTACGATGTCTATAGAACAAGCACCGATAATAGCTACTAAATGCATTCAGTTCGAAAGCAAAAAAGGCAGTTTTCACCTTTAGAAACTGATGGTCCTTTAGACAATCAAAATGGACCAACTATTCCGCCCGCATATTTTGAGAACGTTCCTCAAGAAGGGAGATTTCATACAACAAGAAACTCGGAATTTCCTTCACCAACCTAATAATTTTCTACCCTTGCTTTTTTTTCGTTCTCCGAGCTTTTTTTTTCGTTCTCCGATTTTTAAGGTCAGAGCCATCGTCTTTTATAAATCGCACATTGAAGGAGCAGGGAAGTAACCTAACGCATCGAGAAGAAAGAAAACTGTTTTTCACGATAATTTGAAATTTGGCGATGAGCCTGTAACAGTGTACAAGATAAAATGAACTAATGAAAAATTGCTTTTGTAAGCCTTAATTTTGCAGCCATTTATGATCGGCTTCTACACGGCACATGCAAAAAAACAGCAGTAGATATTAGGTTGTTGCAAAGTAATATCCGTTTTGCAAAGTTTTACTTTGAAGGGCTATAGCTTTGTCCAGTCTCAATATTTTTGAATGCAATTAAAACCATCAGAAGCAAAAAACCTCTCGAAACCTAACGCACCGCACCTGCACCTGCATATATTGATATCGAGAATGGGAAGAAAATCATGCGTTAAAAAAACGGAGTTTTTCATTAAAAACCTTGTGAGATTACAATTCTCTTCAAGTTTCTTTCATATGACTGCCTCAGCTTGTCTTATAGACACAAGCCAGTAGTCACGTTTATATAGAAAAAACTTCAACGAAGTGGACCTTCGAAAAGAAAAGATAGAAATCCAAAATTGTCCATTTTTTGGAGCCTATTTGTGGTAGGCCAGAAGGCCCCAGACTATGAAAATTTTGTTCTTCATGCACTGAATGAGTTTTTCTGCAAAAATTTTAGGCAAGATGTCCTGACATCAAGCATACACAAATGAGCGAAGCTTCGGCTATTGCCTTGATCGGGAAAAATTTCAATCCATACAGTGCCATGCAGCGAGTATCTATTTTGAGGCGTCGATTCAGTCCAAATATATTCGAAGAATTCTGATTTGTGGAAGCCTCGAACAGTCGGATTTTCCTTTCGAATATGAGTCGTAACGATCCAGGTCTCGAAGTTTTGCAATGAAAGTCCTAAGTAATTGGAGCAAAGTAAATTACAACCAGTACAAGCTCGTTGCTCATACTCCCACACCTTCACATACGCTTCCTCAAGCACCAACGATTTTCTTCTCCATCGCAAAGATACTACTCCCGAGTAATCAAGCAAAACGCATGATTACTCTCAATTTAAGCAGGAGTGAGAACAAGATAACATATGTTTCATTATCATTTCATGCCGAAATATAACCTCTCATAGCACATATGGTTGATTTGTGTGATTTATATGGTTTATAGCATTCAAAAATACGTATCTGATGCAAAGGTGATAAATGGTAATAGTTGCAGATTGTTTTTTGACACAGTAGATAGATATATCGGAAGATAATGTGAATGATACTGACTTTTAGCCTGATCCATGCTAAGTGATTGTCAAGAGGCGCGATTTTTATTGCCAGATGGAAACCAATGCGAATTTTTATGTTTAGTAACGTTCTAGAAGCCTCTCAAATTTTTGAGGAAACAATAGGAGATCGTTGCACGGGCTGCTCAACCTTGATATTTTGAAAAAGTTTCAAAACATAAATTTTGGAGTTCAAAAACCCTTGAAAATGTGATTACAGGCAATTTTTCGGATATCTCGGCCAATGCAGAAAACTGTCAGTCGAACTACAAGTGGTGAGTTCAGACAGCGAGGAAGTTCAAAAACCTCTAATATTCTTGAAAGATTTGCATAGTCCCACATTAGGTTATTGAATTGGCCTTTGGAGAAAGAGCGCCTCTTGGCCGTCTCCCGACCTATGCAAACTTTCGTTTAGGGTCTTTTTTTGTTGAAGGTAAAGCGTGCACTTACCTTGTTACCACGGCAGGTGCAGCGGCAAGTGGACGAACAAGCATCCGAGTAGCTCCTTGGGCGACGCGCATTAATGCCGCCATCAGAAAAACAGAAACAATTAGCATGATTATACCACCACTCACAGTAAGTGATCAGCAGAATGATTCAGAACTCTTTACTACGAGCTAAGCCGAGATAAACGCGGTCAAGACAGATAACGACATCTTTTGTTGTTTTTATGTCGCGTCCGATAGTAGAGGTCAGCGTCGAATGGGGTCAAAACGACAGTTAACAGTAGGATTGAAAGAATAAAGGCCTTTTTTCCAACTACTTCAACAATCCAAAGAAATACTATAGCAACAGAAGACAGTAGAAACCCATTTTCCTAGCTTTTCTACATTCGCGCGTCCGTTAAGTGCAGCAGGGGGATGCCCCATATCGACAAATTTGCAAATCGCTACGGGTTACTGTGTTAGTAAAGCAGCTGGTTAGCTAACATTGCCCATATAATGTAGTTTTGGACTTTTACCTCAGGCAAATTCTTCTGTGTAACACAGAATTTTGACGATATTTATTGCTTATATACATAATAAACTGAAGCAAATGCATTTTCCAATCAAATAATTATTGTTAGCAATGAGGTAGACAATGAAGTAAGAAAAGAAAAGAATTATGCGTAGCACCAAGGCACGCGCGGAGAAAACGATACACGTGTGGGACAGCGGAATATGCATAAAAAGGGTGATGCAGTAGCGTGCATATGATACAATCATGCATTAGTAGATAAATTATGTATCAAACTCATAAAGCCTTGCGGGAGGCGACATTTTCGTACTTGAAATTATAACAGCGTTCCAAACATAAAGCTTTACCATTACTACCACTGTTATACACAAAATTAAACAAATAACCGCACTGGGCTACAAGAACATAATGTACCATATAATCGAAAAGTACGTTATAAAGACTAGATAATTCAAAAAAAATGTTCGATGAATGCTACAGAAAGATCTCACAAGTGATAGCAATCAACGAACATTCTTTCCACCAAGTATGCCGACCATGATCACTGCTAGCCGCGTTCTTCTCAGCTCCCTATATGGTATTCACTTCCAAGACCTGATCGTACATCGGGAATGCATGCTAAATCTCTCAGTTCACAAAAACGGTCCTTGTGGTCTGTCCAATATCAGAACGACGATTTCTATGGTTCCGCGCTATCTCAGGAACTGCAAGAAGCAACAACAATAATAAGTTTACGCGCATAAGGCGGGTGTTACAAAAGTTTGAAACCGTACTAAAAAAGTTGGAAGATGTTAGAAAAGCATTCCTGGATGAGAAACAATTGAATTTTGGTATTACTGAACCGTTGTTTATTATCATAAGATTCGCTCACTGAAATTGACTGGCATAACATGCGTTTCCAACATGTCTAAATTTGAAAGAAAAATCTTTTCAAGGAGGGGGACCATGAAAGCGAGAAAAACTGAACCTCATACTACATTTCTTTACTTCGTAATCAAAGAACCATGGTACTTAACTAACATACCGCTCTTCGAAAGAGACAGAGGTTTCTTCTCCGGACTTCTTGATGGCTGAAACATAGGAGGAAGGCTAGAACGAGATCTCAGCAAACGGGGCTTGTCCAATTCATCTCCGTCCCTGTTCATGTCCCGTCTGCAAGAAACATTCATGAACGATGCAAAATACAAATTACTCATACATACTATTCTGCACATAAAGCAAATAGCTAAGAAATACAGCACCCATTTGTGAAACTCCTGCCGGTGTTTTTGAAATCCTTGAGCAGCTTCTCGGCAATACTTGTGCTGGTAGTGCTGGTAGCTTCCGAACTTCTCAGTCTTCTACGTATGTCCAAATTATCATCATTCCTCTCCGGCGTCGCTTCCTTGACGTCGTCAGGAGGTACGTAATCGGCATCCTTCTCGCTGAAGCGTCGGTGATGTTTGCGAACGTTTTGCTTGCTCTCTTCTTTGACAGGTTCAGTTTTGGGCACGATGTTATTTTTCAACTGAACTGCGCGGAACAGCGGGCTCGCAGAACGCAAGCGGCTCGATATTAGTTCAGGAATCTCACTAATGTGAGTGTCAGGTTTTCTCTCTGCTCCGTGTGAATTATTTTTCGTTTCTTGATCTTCTTTCTTGACTGTAGCCGCAGATGAGTTTTTTCGCTTCGGCTCCGAACTTTTGGCAGGTGGATTTGGTACAGATGTAGCAGCACTGAAGGACATTAATTAAGTTTAGAGGCGTTGTAAGTGGAGCAAAATAAAGCAAAAACAATAGACAACGAAATGCCAGAACATACCCATCACGACTTCTTGTGATTCTTCCAGGAACCTTAGGTATTGTTTCGTGGGATGGATGGTACGACGCCGACGAGGAAGACGTTGAAGCAGTGGAATCGAGTGACGATTGATGACTGCTTAGTCTCGACGCAGGCGGCGTTCTTGCCGGGGAGTCCGAGAAAAAGCCAGGTTCCTCAGCTTTAGCTTCACCTTCTTCCAGCACTTCCTTCGAGTACAGACGCTAGAAATAACACTCATCAATTAGAGGTTTTTCAGCTCCATTGGGATATTTGAAAAAAAGATGGATAAAGTTAAAAATGCTACCAAGCTGAAGAGTAAAAATGGATAATTGACTTGTCCGTGCAAAAACCAATATCAACATACATGAACTGACAAACAAAGAAACTACAAACCAAACACCAACCTCCACGCTGTCGTTCAGATAAGCAAATGTTCGTTGACTAATGGGCACCGGACGCGAAATATGCTCAGCAATCAACATAGCCGCATCTCCACAAGCGTGGACCATATTTCGCTGCTCTTTAGCTTTACGCAATACCAGACCAAGCAACCCATGTCCCTAAAACTGTCACTGTTTATATTTGTAGAGACAAAGGATTCAAAGTCACCTTGTGAAGGGAATTGCACAGTCTGACCCATGATCGTACAGTTCTAGTCATTTTCTTGGCGCCATATGCACTAGAAGACGGTGTTGCAACAGCATCGCCCTCATCTCTCTTTGGACGACCACGCCTTTTCTTCGCCGTCCCTTGCGTATCATTACCAGTAATCTCAAGATAATCCGGTAGTTCAAGTTGTATCGGCTCCGGCTCATCTATCTGTAAATTAAATATCCTAGTCATTTCCTTAGGGTATAAGATATACGGGATTCACTGGCAAAAAAACGATTACCGTTATCTCATCTTGTAAGTTATCGATGAGCGGCCTGCCGTTATTGCGCAGTCTTCTCCATTTCCAGTACTCAAAAACATCAGATACACATAGAAGATCGAGTGAGAGCCTGTAAAAAAGTCTTTGAAGAACACTAATCGTCGATTGAACAGAACTCACCTCTTCGCAACGTCCTTATAATCAACAAAAACGTAGCAAGTCTGCTCTAGACTTGCCAATGGACCAGAGCTAGGCTGTACTGCCGTCTCTTCATCTGACCCGGTCACCTTCAATACTAACATTGAACAGTTCTTTCAAAACACGTACGGCAGCTACCTGGCTGAGGTCACGGATAGCCTCATCCGGTTCAAAATCTTTAGCAGATCGATGTTTGGAGCAGAGCGAGATCATGTGCACCTTGTCATCGTCGGTGTCCTCAAAAAAAATAACACTGCATAACAATTACTAGGAAAATAAATGTACACACCTGTTCAATGCGCATCTCTAATCCACTTCGCAAGGCACAAGTGACGTGAAAGAAGGTCTTGCAGGTGCTTACGGAACATTTGATGCATGCTCCTTGCCGAGTGTCACAAATGCAACACCTGAAACCATAACATAATGCAGAAGCTATCGTGAACAAAATGAATACGTCAAGAACAAGTTCGAGATTATGATCGCAAACTAAGCAAAAACTCACTTCGCCGTCCATCTTTCTTCTTGTATCTCATCAATGCACATTATTGGCTCTCGTTTTTCAATATCTCCGAACCTGATACAAAGGAAAATACTTCTGCACGTTTCAAGCATTATCCTACTAAGACTGTTAGCGATTCAGATCGGGATAAAAAATTAGTAGTAAACGGAAACTCAATTTAGAGTCATTCACTGTGTAAAAAAGATTTATGTAGTATACCATCAGCACTTACCGGCATTCGTGTATCCACAGCGCACAAACCACGTGCGCCCACTGATTTTTCGTATCGGTACATTTTAGTGCACCTCCTATGGTAGGACAAAGCACGCATGGAGGATTCCGACCTGGAAATAAGATACTCCGTACATGTAAAGACCCCTTTATAAATAGACAATCTGTGGGCGGAACAAGATGTGCATTTAGAGAGATTTACAAAAATAAATCAATCTTAAATGCTGTGACATATAACGATGAGTGATGTGCTATCATTGTTCTCCTCGTCCGATAGTCTACAAAGCTGTGCTCCAATGCAAATTTTGCGCGCCATTTCAAATATACGCTGCACGTGAACGACATCTGCCGATCACGTGAAGCGAAGACGAACAATCAATTCGTGTTGGTGTACAAAAAAGAGCAATGAATGGAGTGCAAGTAAATTACACTAATGAAAGAACACAGATAATATTCGGGATGCTTGTAAAAGTCAAGAAGCGATGGAAAGACTGATGAAAAACGAGAGACTAACCAAAACAATAGCAGCACTTCATGCACAGCCATTCACCAGCTGGTAGTTCCTGCAAACCATAACACGACATGTGAACACAAAGATTGCAGCCATCACAAAAGACCATTTCATCGTCTGGTTCAGATTCGCGCTAAATGCCGGTAGATGAGAATATGGACAGTACTTGCTAAAATTTCATCTCACCGCACGACAAACATCGCAAGCTGCTTCCTCATCATATTCATCCACCCGCGAGCACGGAGAGTGGAGAGGTTCCAGCAGCTTTTTGTGGATGTTCTATAAATAAACAGTAGTTTCCCCAGATTTCTTCTGTAGATGAAAGACAGCAACGATACCTTGTAGCAATCAATTTCAAAGGCATTCATGATTTTAAGAAAAACTTCCATCGTCAAAGGTTTATCTCTCTGCTGAAATAAAGATAATAAGGAAGGCAACATTAAAATTTATCAATTACCTCATTTATAAGCTTCAAATACCGTTCGTCCAATCTCGTGCTTTCATAAAGACGCAAAGGTTCCCTCGGAAACTCTTTATAGGGAATGGCGAGAAACTTTTTCATTAGAACACGGCGTTGTTGTCGCATACTGCAAAGATAACAAAATTTTAGGCAGGGAAAACAGTTGTATTCTCTACGAAAAAATACTCACCAAGAAGGTGATGGATCTTGAAACTTGACGGTAGACTTGCGAACCTCATTGGTGTACGTGGCATCTGAATGAAGTGGTACTTGGGTACCATAACTCCACTCCGTGCGCCATCTGAAATTTAATTCAATGAAATCTTTCCTTCAATCATCATGTACTGTACCTATCCAGCATGCGCGTCAAACCACTTCCAGGTACATCCTCGTCATCGCTGTCCGCATTGAAATCTATACCTCTACGCAGCCTATCAAGTAGGTCTGTACGAAACATCTCAGCTGGGCGACCGTCTGCAAAGGAACCAGTTTTGCAAGCACAGTCGCACGCTCAAAAAAGCGGCCAGTATTCGGGGTGTCTATACTCACCATTTTGAACGATATAATAGCTGCGTTTCGTTGAATTTTGCAGATCAGTATTGCTGCTTGATCTACAATATAAATTCAATAATACAGGATTAAGCGATGCGCGAAGTAGAAGGTGTAATGTACTTACTGTTCATCTGTAAAGGAAAATTCCGTTTTGCTGCTTTTACCGCCTTTGTGGCATTTGCCGCCCTTGCTGCGTGGTCCTTTGTTCAGTTTCCTGCCTTGTTTAGAATGCAGCTGTTCATCAGCGTCTTCATCACTGAACTCCACGTGGCTGTCACAATGCAACTTATTGGAAGTGCTTGGTCCAGACGCTGCAAAAAACCAAGTGAATAGAAAAAAAAATTATAGTGCACTTTCAAAAGGCATCTGATAAGGTTTCTTGAAAATTTAACCTTAAGTTCATATTGCGAATAGAGGGGTAAAGTATGAAAAAAGTATGGATAACGCTTTAAAGACATAAACATTGCTAACAATGCTGCATATACTACATGCAAAAAAGACCGCAAAGCACGCAAACGATTTGCAATGAGACACACCATCACAAAAACTTATTGATCCAATCGAATATTGCAGCACCGTGATAAAGCAGTATAGAATACTAGCTGGTAGCCCCGGTCTCACCCGAGACTTCAAGTTAGTTAAGCCAACAGAACTTGTAAACTTACCCCTTTAGATTTCTTCTAACATGCGCATAAAGCGCTTTCAGACTAATTGCCGCACCCTACTGACTTTAAGACTGGAATGGACTTTACCGCCCCTGCTTACATGCTTATATGTAAAAATGATCGGTTGCCATGATGGCCCTTCATTTTCTTAGGTTTGCGTAAACAAATCAATAAATCGATAGAATGGCCCGGCGAATCGCCGCGGAAAGTAGCTCTAAACCACCGCCGGGGTCGAAAATATACGTGTGCGAAGTTTCAGCCGGATCGGTTCAGTGGCGCGCGTTTCTATAACGAACGAACAACTAAACGAACATCCTCACAGACATTGAGTTTTATATATATATAGATGCGGAACTCTATGCTCATACTGCAAAAAAATCACCAATCACCGCATTGAAATCCCAATAAACTACCAACAATAGGTTCAACAGATGATTCTTGAATCAACGCCGCAAAAAAAAATAAATCCAAAATATACGGTACTGAATATATCTGGCCTTTTGATTAGTGCAACGCCTGCTCTGCGTCTCTAACCTGCGGCACGCAAGACGTAACATGTTGGGAACATGCAAGAACATGCTGAATATTAGCCCTAAGGCCAACACTTCGTTGCATGTTGCTAACATGTCAGCCCATGCTGTTGCATGCTACAACATGCCAGCAGATCACCGCCTGCCAACATGTTGGCCATGCGTCGCAGGTCAGAGACGCAGAGCAGGAATAGCACTAATCAAGGAGCGGACCATAACGAGCCAGGACGGCCAAGAAATTATAAGGAGCTTGATGGCCCATACTTGAATTTTATGATAACAGCACAAGATGGTAAATACTCACCAAAGCGATGCGATAGTGGAGAGAAACGCCTGCGTTTAGGTGAGTTATCCTCTTCGTCACAGCTTTCGGCATTGGAAAGTGATGAATTTAGCAATCCTGCAAGGAAAAAAAGTAGATAAAATATTGTCTCTTACCATAAAACATGACGGTCAATCACTTACTCTTGTGATCATTTTTCAGCTTTGAAGATTTTTTCTCAGCAGCAGCATCGGATCCGAAAGATCTTCTCTGAATACGGCGGAACTTGGCTTTTGGTGTGAGTGCGTCGAGATGTGGCGCAGCGGGCGTCATATCTAAAACGCTAATGTAAAGACATTGAGAAAAATATCCACAAATTTTCACTTAATTCGCGTTCTTCTTTCTATAACCACAGGTTTGCGAACTACGACGACCATACTTACACAAACACACGCTCACAGCGTTATGAACACCTGATTAGCATGTGAAGACAGGTCAAGAGAAGTGAGATACAACCAACGCCCAAGTTTGGAGAAAAAAAAAACTTAAAAATCGATACACAATGTCAATAGTGTTAGAAAACATAAGCCGAGAAACAATTCTCGACGGGAACGTCCACAAACTGCTTTGTAGTGAACTTCAACGTTAATCGAACGCTTGAGAAGTTCACCCATGAATAGGATTTCGCAACAAAAAGGCTTTGCTCCCTTGTTGATTAATGGAGCTTAATGGAGCAATATCCCCGAACAAGAATAGCCTAACACCCTTCCCCCATCTTTTTGCCACATGATCAGTTGATCTCTACCACAAATCCCTAATCAATAATTCAATTTTTGGAGCTGGGTCGTCCACTTCGTAGACCACGCGGTGGCCGTCGTATCGACGTCCGCCGATGCCGCGTGTTCCGTTCAAACCGAAGGATTTGCGCAATTTTTGTTAAAGGACGCAGTCGGAATGACTGACCTGCACATCTATGGACGCGTCGCAACGTGTTGGAATTGCGGCGCGTCTTATCGATTTGTACATTCGTTGTTGGCGTCGCCTCGCGGTTGGTCTTCTGTTCGTCTTTTGTCGCACTGCGCTTGTTTTTAGTGACAAATTTTGTTGAGCAGCGTTCGGAGGTTAGGTAGTATGCTTTCGTTCAAGTCAAGTAGGCTAGCGATTGTTCAGGGTTAGTGTTAGTCCATCAAGTTTAATGCAGATAAGAGCTTGTCATCTCATGCTTGTTTGTACGGGAGTGTTGTCTCGATCATCACACTTTATGCACAGTAATTGGGGTCCAGATAATCGGTAGTTTCGTCAAAAAACTTTGTGTGAGAATTAATCAGCGGTTCGTAAAGTTGTCGAACTTGACAGAGTGGTAAGCAAACCAGCTTCTCTTTAACTGTCTTTGCGCGTTTTTCCACGCATGCAATCGTTATCATTGGGTATCCAATCGCAGCTAGTGCTCACTTATCAATGCAGCATTGACGTGACTGGCAGTCTTCATCAAAGCTTCGCAAAGGTCTGTCTATATGAAAAGTATTGTTTCCTCTCTGCCTAATTCGTATGTGCTTGCGTTTTGTTGCGAAAAAAGCGTAAAATTTCAGCGATATCCATAAACAAAAACATTTTGCAGAAAATGACTGAGGATCGCTCTGACATGAAGAAAGACGATTCGGAATCCAAAGGCGCAAATGGCGATCGCGGCGGTAGTCCTTCAAATGAGAATGGCGCTGAACGAGAACATCGCGATGACGTTTGCCGCGATTTTCTTAAGAACATATGCAATCGCGGCTCACGCTGCAAATTCTACCATCCCGCAGACAGCAAGCAGCGCACTGAAGATATGATCAATTTCTGCATCGACTTCCAGGTGTGTGCAAGCGTTTATAAAGCTTTAGGTAAATTTTTTATAGTGTAAGGTCGCTAGTAGTTAGCCCTGGAAGTTCAGCGTTACCACCTAATGCTTTTTATGCGGTGTAACTTTGCAATTTGCAGTTTAACTTCCTACAAAGCGACTGTTTAAGCATTTATCTCGCTAGGCGAGCAAATTGACCTAATTCAATAAGGCTTTTTAGAATCGTGGCTGTATGCGCGACAATTGCCGCTTTGTGCATGCGTCGCGCGAGGAAGTGGAGCGCTACAAGCACACGCGCGAAGTCACGTTGCCGCTTGCGCGAGCAATCGCAGCGGTCACGCAAGGCGACACTATCGCGGGAATCCCGGTCTGCAAGGAGTTTCAGTCTGGCAAATGCGCTCGCGGCGCACAGCGTTGTCGCTATTGGCACGTGAACGTGGAAGAGGAGCGCGAACGACGACTGCGTGGTCTTCCCCCGTCAGGTGGGCCTGCCGGCAGATTTGGTGGTCCGTCTGGAAGCCGCTACGGCGGTCCTCCAGGCGGTTCGCTTTATGGTTTAGCACCGCTGGGCATGCGACGAGCTGGCCCGCCGCTCGATGGACCGTACGAGAAGCGATCCCGCATGGAAGAAAGCCGTGTTACTGAATTAGAGCGCAAGAATGCAGAGCTTTCAAAGGAAGTGGAGACGCTGAAAAGAGAATTGCAACGCGAGCATGAACGCTATGAAGATCTTTATGCGCTGTTCCGTCAGCAGAGCGGCGGTGCGGGTGCGGCCCCGTCGAAAGCCGCTGCGCAGAGTGGTTACGGAGTAGGTGGCTATGGCAACTGGAACGCTGGCGGCGGTTGGCAGTAGATTGTAAATTCTAATTCGCTGACAGTTCTCATTCCCGTATGATCTTTTCTCGCAAGCGTGTTGTTGTTAATTGTCATTGTTACTCTAAACACTGGCCGCAGTTGTAATTTACTTAATCCTCTGCGTCTGAATTATATTTGCGGCGTGGGCTGCGAACTTGCGTTATTGTTCGGTTGTCGTTGCCCTGCTAAAAGCATCTTTGTTCAAGAAGTATTTCCATCAGATACGCGCAAAGTAGGCTCACAATGTAGTCGTACTTGAGTTTACGTAGACTGTTTTGTTGGGTGTAATAACATTTATTATCTGCACTATGTTAACTGTATAAAGCGGTAGTTTTGGTCAATTGTTTCGTATACGTGCTGCAATATCCATAGTTATGCGTTCATTTTACATGGTTACCGAGCCACATAAAAACAGATTGGGGTGAAAATTTGAGTGAGACTGCGAATTTGCAGTGTGATCAATCAGCGAGGAACGTTCTTTCGTATCTCGCCTAGAAGTCCGTCTGCATAGTAAATGTAAGTAATAGAGTAGTTTTGAGCAATACAGTGAAAGTCGTAACTTGTAATAAACAAAAACAATATGATCGAGATAGGTGTAATTTCTTTATTCAGAGTGTGAAGATAATTTGCATGAGTTCTTACTACATATAATGATTCAAACAGTGGATGTAGAAAAGAGGTTTGCGTAACTAAAAGTAACGTGCACTCTTATAGATTACAGTTTCGATATAGGAACGTTTCATGGGCATCGCTATAATTTTACAGATGGATACATGCAGTTACGCTGTAAAACATAATGGTTTTCTCGTAGATCTTATCCCATAGCCGGTTTAATGGCGATAAGATAGCATGTAATTTGTGATAATTGTAGTGTTTATATGTGAATGCTCAAAATTTTTTTTTGCAAGCTGTGCTTCAAGCGTTGATAACAATTCGCCAGCATTTTCTTGGGTAATGCATTTCATCAAAAACGATGATGCTGCTTCGTTTTCAGTCATAGAGACATCTCTCAAGTTTTTAGATAAATGTATGTTAGCTATCTCAGTAAAGTTTCCGAATCATCAGACCCCTTATTTATTCAAAAATTGACGTTGATAATTGGTAAGCTTTGCGGCGTTGGGCTGATCAGGGCGCAAATCTCCTTGTTCCAGATGGGTATGTCTAGACCCTAAATTTAGAAAATTTCTTGCTGCTGCAGTGTGGAAGTTTTTAGATTGCGGATATGGGCTTTCTGGTTTTATACTTTCATTTGGTATTTGAATGTAGCATAACGAGATGACTCGGATTGCTGTCAGACACAATCTAGTCTTTTTATGGTATCGATTCAGTCGAGATAAGCGAACGCAAATTCGTTCGAAAATGATGTGATGACAGAAAACCAGTGGTTCTTTAGTGCATGTGCAATAACCTGAATCTTCGGTTTTCTAATGCCTTGTAGTTGTGTAAGAGACTGGGCGGTGTAATAATTGAGAAAAAAAAGCAATCTAAGCGCGTTTTGCATCCATTTCGTCGTGTTCAAGAAAAAAAAAACGCTCCATAGTAGAACCTCAACATTATTACCTGACAGATATCAGCAACATCGCACAGGAGTGACAATAGCTTTCCTGCTCTCACTGGATATCTGCATAATCGACCCGAATGTAAACACCAACGAGAAAGTAAACACTTGGCGTTTGAAGCAGTGCCTCTGTTTTTCTGTCGCAATTTCAAGTTGCTTTGGTGGACACGGGGTCGAGAAAAAATATAAGTTATTGCAGTTACGCTCAGACGAAGGCGCAATGGAGGAGTTATGATGCATCCCTCTGGATGGTTCCTTTATGAACCGTCAACTTGGCCGTCCTTCGATCATTACAACATGTCAACTTCGAATAAGCGCCTTAATCTACTGGTGTTAACATATTAAAACGGTTGAAAGGCAGCCATGTTGATGATCCATAAAGGAATAATTCTGGGGGAGCATGATACATTTTGTGATTTTTGCGCATCATGCGATCTGCGGGCAAAAGGGCGTTGGGGCCGCATTTCCTGTACCCTCATCTGCCGTAGATCTAACATGTAACTTAATTCAGAATATGCTAATTTACCGTAGCACTTCGGCACCGCAAACAGTATATCAAGCGGAAAATCTATCTAATTGTAGGCGTTGGGGGGGGGGGGACAACTATATGGGGCTTGAGATTAGGTTTTGAATCTCATCGGTCTTTTGAATCAATTTCGGTGGCTGATCTTTAAAGGCAGCGTCCCAGATTTTGCGTTTCCATCTTTTTGCATGTCCTGGGCCTTTCTCGATCCGTAGATCCCAAATCTGAGCTTTAAAAGGGGTGAAAAGGCCTTTTTCGGAGCGATTTTTTCAATTTCCAAAAGGCAGCTCGGACGAGAATTTTCAAAGGAAAGTCGGGAGGCCCTGGCACGAAGACCCTGCTGCCTGTAATTTTGGCTTTATATAGCATGCACTATGCGGGAAAGCGGTTGGGGGGTCGCGCGCCGTCTAGCGGAGATTACTCGTCCGAACGAGGTGTTTGGGGAGCGAAAGGAGGAAGCGGAGCGGCGCTTGGGCCGCCCCCCCCCCTGGCTTGCAGAGTTCACATTTTCGGCGCGGAGTTGCTGTTTTTCACTTGGGGGACCTCCCATCCATCTGTGTCAAAATCTGAGGTAGGTCAATCTGCCGAGCCGCTGCCTTTAATGCTTGTAGAAAAATCTAAAAACTTCAATGCTGCAAGACTGAACGGAATGTCAAAGTCTTCCGCACTTTTAGAATACGGAAAAAAAGTGACTTGTCAGTTGTATTTTTCCACAACTGGGCCGGATATTTTTATGCAAACAGCAATTGCGAGGAAAGTGCGAGCATACAAGGCCTCAAACAGCGCTGGCATTGATCGTTTGGTATTGCTAAACTATCCTCAATTTTTAGCGCCTTTTGAAAAGCAAAACTTGCTCCAAATCGGGATGAGGGTTAATCCTTTTTAATTCGAAATATTGATGGGCTGCTCTGCAGAATACAGCGGGTGTTCTATCACGGTCACTCAGAGCAGTGCTTCTCGATTCAGACGGACATTCTGTTCGAAGCAGCGCGTGCGCTTTGCTGGAGGCTTTGCGAGCGCACAGTGCTAATTAGGAGTTGAGGGACCCGTCATATTTCGTTGAAAAAAGCCCGAAAAAGCCCAAAAACGCCAGAAAGAGCCGGAACGCCACCGCAAGTTTTGGAGTACAAGAAGAGACAAGAGTACAACAAGAAAATAATCAAGTGAGAGGACCGGCTTGCGAACACACACATGCCTTACAGTCCATGTTAATTACTTGTTCCCTTTTCCGCAAGAGCAAGAGCTTCGCGCCGCGTTCGCGCGCGTATGGCTCGGGCACTCAAATTGGCCTCATCGATCGGTGGCCCGCGTGCGGGCTCTTGCGTCGTGCATGCGTAGTACCCACGCGAAAGGGAGTACGTAATTGACATCGACTGTAGCGCCAAATTTTGCGAGGCGTTCCGGCTGCCTGGCGCTTTCGGGATTTTTTGGGCTTTTTCTTTCAGGTCTTGGGCTTTTTCGGGCTTTTCTGGGCGCGCTTGGACTTTTTTTTCGGCGAAGTATGACGGGTCCGAGGAAGGGAGACGCAGACATGTGTTATCAGAACGACAGGTATGCTTTAGTTGCGAAGGGGCGCGAACCGTTGCGTGCGGACGGCCACCAGCAAATATCTGCCTAAACTAGGCTAGAACTACTTTTACTTGTCGGAAAGCCATGGCGGTGCGAACGCGCAGCATGCTGCCTTTGTCTGATTCAGATTGCAACAAACTATCTGTAGACATCTGGCGTATTGATCATGGCGATCGCATGGCACCGCTCGAAATTGACCTATGATTTTGGCACTTGCATACTTTTACACTTCGTGTTTTGAAACTTAAGCATTTTTATCCACTTCATGTGGAACCACAATGCTGCGTAATTGATCAAGTTTGTTTCGGTATGGATAAAGTGGGTGAGTATAGCGTGCGCCTTTGAAGGATGCTACTACTTCGCCGAAACCATAGGACGGGAGGCAACCATCTAAGTTTGCTTGCGCTAAGCTGTACAGTCTGTTTCAGTCGGGATTATGCCGAACCGCTGACATCATTTTGCGCGCTCGACGCGATAGGGGGTTTGCGCTGCAATGCGCCGGTCGGATAGAGCGAAGAGGCTGAAGAGAGAGAGAGAGAAAGAGAGAGAGAGAGTACGCAAGCAGACGGGTGGGGGAGCGAAAGCCGCCAGGTTCAGCCGCCTTTCGCGGCCAGCTGGTCCTTTCGCAGCGTTGTTGCATGTCGTTCCAGGACCAACAGTCCGCCTCCGCGGACTGTTGGTCCTGGAACGACATGCAACAACGCTGCGAAACTGGCGGCTTTCGTTCCTCCACCCCAAGCAGACGGTAGGAGCGACACAAAAAGCGACGCGGATGCCGCTAGGTCCGTTTTGACTGATTGGGAATGGAACAGATTGATACCTGAAAATACTTTGCGATTCTGGTTTTGGGGTAAGCAGTAAGTGCGCTTTCATAAGCAACGACTTGATAGGTTTGCACAACTTGCAGAAGCTATGCGCCTAGGCATGCAAAATCTTCCCAAAATGATTTGTAGACATTTAGTAAGTTGTGTAGAATCTCCAATGTGGCGCGAATCATGCTCAAGCCCGATACTGCGATACGTGAAATGTATTAGGTCGTTGCAAAAATAATGTCCGTTTTTCTAGGCCTATATTTCAAACAACTTTTTTCCATCAAACTTTCTTTTTCGACATAGAATTTGCATATCAATGGAAAGCTCTCTTCATGTACTTTCTAGTGATGGTGGAAATAGGCTGCTATCCTCATCTGTGAGAATTTCACCAGCATCTCGCATAACTGCACTCAAAATCGAAATTTCGATGCTTCAGTTTCCGTGGCCACAATTCAGGCGCAAATTAACGAAATCTTCTGAAAACATAGCATTTCTTTTGGATGAGGATTGTTTACCTACTGCATGCTTATGTGGATTTTTGGAGATATCTGGACTGAGAAATGGACGCCTCGAAAGAGATACTCACTGCTGGCATTCTATGGATCAGAAATTTCTCATAATTAAGGCAATCGCCAAAGCTTCGCCCATTTCTGTAAGCCTGAGATTAGCACACCTCAACTACAATATTTGAAGAGAAACTCAACTATCTTGTGCGCGAAGAATTTCAAATTTTTACAATTTGACACTTACAAGCCTACAACAAGTGGGCTTAAAAAAGTGAACTTTTTTGAATTTTTGTCTTTACTTTTCGCAGAACTCTTCCGTCGGAGTTTTTGCTATACCCTCATAAACTCTTGGTGTGCTGCTACAAAATAAGTTGATTGCCAGCCATACGAACAAAACTTGAAGGGAGTTGTAAGCTTTCAAAGAAGAGGTTTTTGAGAGAAAAACTTTTAGTTTTTTGACGCGTGGTTTTCTTGCCAACCGCGATATCAGTACGAGCAGGCATGCGCTAAATTACGAAAGGTTTGCTGTTTCTGATGGTCTTGACTGCATTCAAAAATATGAAGACTGAACGAAGTTATAGCCCTCCAAAGTGAAAATTTGTAAAGCGGACATTATTTTTGCAACAACCTAATAATATGAGTAAATTTCATATATGGGAGCTAATCTTTGTGCTTGATATTAAGGCAGGTACTCGATGGAATTCCAGAGTGGCAAGGTTCAAGTGACTGACGTTTCACCGAAATTTTATCCTTGCGTATTGTACATAGGCTTTCGCTGAACAGCCAGGAGATGACAGGACAGGAACGCAACCTATCTCGTAACATAACTTGCTTTGCAATTTTGCATCCACCATAGTGACTCGGGATTGAAAAGGACGAAGAAGTAAAAACCTATTCCACACTTTTGCAGCAGGATCAGGGATCGCCTAGAGTGTGAAAGCGAGTTCGCCTTTTGTAGTTTCATGCAGAGTAAAGTCGCCTGCACGAAATCGCGCGCTGAACGCGCGTGAGCCTGCCTGCAACGCGGCTGCCGAGTGCGGGCGCTATGATGACTCATGCGCGCGAATGCCAACGTTAGCATGCAAGAGACACGCGCAAGGGTGCTCATTCCGAGCGATTCCGTGCAGTCAACTATACGCTTACTACGAGTTTTTGCACCTCAGCAGTACGACGCTGCCGAGCGAACTTTCGGATAAAATGGCGCAGACATCTGAGGACGGCTGTCCTGGTAGCAGCATCGTTTAAAAGTTCTCCTGCTAGCTCCACATCTACTTTTACTGAAAATTTTGGAGGGCGCTGTCGAGTTGTGATACCACTTTCAATAAGGAACAAAGCTTGTAATTCATTACACATTACTTTGACCAGCAACACTTGAAATTCACTGCGACAAACAATAATTTATTCCAAACTTATTATGCACATGCTCTCATTCGATAGCGATTTGTAAGATTCGCGATATTGCGACCCGGTAAGGGCTGATAAGGTCATATTATCAAGTAGTTCGATGCAACAACATAAAAATAAACATGAAAGAAATTCATAAATCTCTGGAAATGACTAATGCGGGAGATGACTATTGTGAAGGAAAAGGATCGTGGAAGAGCGAAACAATCCAGCGATTTGCATTACGAGTAAGGCGATAGTAGGCAATGAAACACGAGGCAACGATGATAAGAGAGAGGACAACGATACACAGATAGAATCAGCAAAATTGTCAGATCTCGACGTCATGGACGACGTGACTCTCGAGTTCGGCGTTATAAACGAGCACAAAAAAAGCTTCAAAGAAGGCACCGATGGGAGGAACGGCGTTCACAAAATACTACACAGTTTCTTTAGACCACTCTTCTTTTTGCCTCCCGTTTGAGCGTGGTCCATACCAGCTGCTGATGTCATCGGACCCTTCCGTCGCTTTATTTCGCGCATCAGATCGTAGAATACCTGACATCATGAACTTTGATATATCGAAGGAGCAGTATACCTGTTGCATGACTCACTTTATCCACATTTTCTCTTCGCTTTGCAGATGTTTCCACGTACTGTACGCCCCATCGCTCAGCTCTGAAAACGAAAACTATTTGCTTGCAAGCAAAAATTGTATTCGATAAGACAGACGCAAGAAGTGAAGAATTCCTCTTTTTTTTGAAAAGTTCTAACATCTTCAGAAAAGTTATATATAATCACAGCTGTAATTAGCAATTCCATAAAAGAACAATCAGCAACTCGCTTAGTGGCTAAAACTCAAAGCTTATGTGTGATAAGGTGACAGTGATGTTACAAGCAAAACATAAAAAGATAGCTATTGATGGAAGCATACTTCCACGCAATAGAACAAAAATGGGGTATCTACATATCATAAAACCAAGGAAAGTATCCTGACTTTTCAATCAACTTTAGGGATTGGTATCATCGATTCGCTGACCGCACACTGTTCAAACCTTGCGGACCATGCGCGGCGCAGCTAAATCGTCGCGAGAACACGACTTGTAAAATGGCGAATTTGTAGTGGGTCAAGCGTTTTACCTCCCTGCGGCGTGTGCTCCGCAGGGATGTCCAGTCCGTGCGGTCAACGAACCAACTATACCCTTTGTTACAACTGGATTGGCGACTGGAAGGCGGAGCTCCGTGACCTAGTTAGGGCTAGAGAGAAATCAGAGAGCAAGAGTCAAGAGAGACGCAGACTGCGTCGCGGGCTCCAGCGGCCATAATTAGGTCACAAATCGAATGAACTTAAAGGCCCCGCCTTCCAGCCGCCAATTCAGTTGCACCAAAGGTTAGTTCATTATAAACAATCACGTATTCATGCAAGTTTAGGAAGATACTTGAGAAAATGGACGTTTTTTCAGTGTACAACAGGTCCAAATCAATGCGAAAAATGAAAACAGCTTTCACCTCTGCCGAGCCATTTCCAGGGACACTACACGTTCTTCGCGTAGATCGGCTTTGTTTCCAACAAGAACAATAGGGACGGAATTGTCCGAACTCTTGACGCGAAGGATCTGCTCTCTAAAATTTCGAAGACTTGATATCCAGCCTTAGCTCGCGAATATGTGTCAATTAACACGTTGACGACCTTGTGCATACGCACGTATGCACGCCCTGACTCCGTTTAGCATTTTCGTGCATCCGCGCATATGCACGCTAGTTTTTTGGGTGTAAACGAAAAGTTTTAAGGTAACTTTTATGCAGTTAAACTATCGGTGCCCTGGTTGTCTTAAAGAACACAGGGCATCGCGGCAGCTGTCCAGAAGTTTTGGCCGCAAAATTGGGTAGTATGTCCGTTTTTGATGTGGTAAATACATGTTAGTTTTTCCGAGAAGGTGGAAACTCTGTGTAGCTGTTTTGAAAGCAAACAAGGATGAATCAGTCAAAAAAACTTTTATCACAACCTTTTATCGAAAAAGGATTGCTCAGGCATAGCCATTGCATGGTATATTGGAGGGAAAATCGAGGCAAAAACCTTGATTTGTGTAAGTCCTAGTAAGATTCTGTGATATACATGTTTCTCTGAACATAGTTTGCATGTTTTATGAATAAGCGTCAAAAAGACTCCCACATAATCTTTTCGTGCATACGCGCCTATGCATGGGCCAAATGCGCGAAGGACGTTAGTGTGAGTTTCGTCCAAAATGGTGCGGTCGTCAACGTGTTAATTGACGATGATCAATGTTGAATTTACCTGAATTCTGTAGTAGCTTCAAAAGAATCCATATCCAAGATGGAGAAGACGCAAATGAAACCTTCACCACTTCGATAGTAATTATCCCTAAATAAAACATGAGTAAGAAAAAGTTAAAGAACATGAGCGTACTAAAAATTTTGAGAATGGAAGGCAAATATTGTAGGGCCGTGCGAGGAAAACATCAAAACACACCTGATAGCTGAATAGTCTTCCTGACCAGCTGTGTCCAGAATATCGATCGAACACTCTTCTCCATCCAGTACAACCTTTTTACGATAGGAATCCGCCTTAGTTGGTTCATACTCTTCCACAAACTGAAAGTACCGTGCATTTTTTTGGAGAATCACACTGATCACTGCGAATGGTTGACAGATGACAGGTGAGCTATCCATGTGAATTGCAAAGATGCACTTTCGCGATACTACTGATCCAGATGCATATAAACAGTTTGATTTCCACCTAGCCTAAGTTCTAACTCCAAAACAGAAATCATATACCTTACACATCCATGACACCATGGCAGTATAAAAGAGGTGAAAAAATGATAACCAAAGAGAAAAATCAAAAGAACAGCGTTTATTACTGACCTCATCATACATAAACTGCAGGGTTAACGCCGACTTCCCTACACCTCCGGTACCGACCATAATGACCTAAATGGTTATGATTAACCAAACAAACATTTTAAAAACTGGATCTGCAAGTGTCATGATCTTCGCATCATACTTATTGGTAAAAAAGAAAAGATGCTTTTAAAATTTGAATTCCGTGGCCCATTACCCTGTGTGTCAAGATATACAACATAGGAAAGAAAAATAACGATCAGCTCCAGGAAAATTTGAAAACCATCATGCCTTATGATAAGCCACTTAATATGAGGCTGTGTGGATGTTCGTTATGAAAATACAGTGAGGAATGATTTACAATGCAAAAGTATTGGGAGTAGCATAACAAGGGTGGTTTATTTTCGTTTTATAAGTGGTTAGTCAGTTGAAGAATGGTGGAAAACCCAGTAACATAAGTAAGTTTTCCTGAATGTTTCAAATTGAACAGTGCGAGCATGCGAAGCAGAGGTAATGCATGTTGTTATATGACAAGCAATCACTGTCTTACCAACGTGGTCATGTTCTCATGCTTTTCAAAGGTATCGATCATAAATTACAATAAAAATCATGCGGGTACATCGTAATTATATAGTGCTAAGGTGTGAACAGTTCTTTTAACTTATTATACTGTGTTTCACGGCAAAATGAGTAAAAGTCACCTATCTTATGACGTTGTATTGAGCTGTATGAAAAATAACACCTTTCCTAATCATTTACTATTCTCAAAAAGTTGTATATATTTTTCGTGCAAACAGCACTGAACGGATACTGCAAAAGTTCGGTTGAAATTTCTTTACAGTTTTCAAAATGTAGAGGGTACGAATAAGATATGGGAATTGGATTTAGAAGCGTAATATGGAATTGGCAGCACTCTGCTGCAAATTTGAAAAAAAGTACAACATGTATTTATGGCAAAATTTTGGCAGAGCGAAAAAGGGCAAATTTGGTACTAACTAAGCTTTTATAAAATATCCCTCGCTGCAGCATGCACTTTGTGATGAAATATCCTTACAAGTCTGTTTTTTGAACTACTAAATATGTACAAATAAAAGTGTTTAAACATTGAAACTGTAAGAATTCACTAACCTTATGAACAATGGGAGCCGCATTTGCTTGCTGCGCTGTACTTCCTTTCTTTTGTCCAGACATACCTGAAAAATGTAAATCAAGCATGAACAACACATCGCAAGAAAAATAGCTGGAATCAGAAAGGGAAACGAGAAAACTGAAAGAGGGGCGAAGAATTTGCAGCGGTGACACCGCAACTGCGAACAGAGCACGTAATCCGCTCGATAATACCAAGATCAAAGAGGATTGGAGGAGCTTTATTCTATTGATTCAAGTGCACTGAATATATTGGATTGTAAAAAACATTATTTCGCAATAGTTGCAAAACATGTTGGCATTAGACCAGCTATTCTAGAAGTAATTGATGGAGACGTTCCTCAGCCACCATGAAGTGTTAACAGCTAGAACAAAAGTTATAGTTAAAATCCTAGTGGAGTTCAACAGCTTAAAAATTTGATTGAGAACATAAAAAAACCGCAAGAACACACTGAAAAGTCGATAATCAAAAGAAATTCTTTTTGACAACGAAGTTCTCAGTTTACATAAGCCCTCTTCATGTTGGGTAACACTAAACTATGCAGCAAGTGTGGGAACTGTTTTTTACACTTGCTTTTTTTATAACGCCATATAACAAACAATAGCGTCAGCATCGTTTGGTGCTCAAATGCCAACCCTATTTCAAGTTCAAACGTGCATCACCTCTTTTAAAATAATTTACTGCTTGAAAGAGGAAGCGACAAGTTCGAGCTTGTTAGTCAGTGCGCGCAGCGGCGATGCTAATTTGTGAATGGATAAAACGGGGAACCAAGAAGAAAGAGAAGAGCGCCTATGGGAGTGAATTTGCACTAGATTGGCTATCATTCTACGAATGGAAAAATTCTTCTTCTTAGAGACAATTTCATTATATAGCGTTGAGATGACATCATCCTGGAGAAAAGAAGAAACACTGCGAAAAAAATACACAAAGTGTCTGCAATCCAAATCAATGAGTCACAGCATCGTTGCTGTTTTCAAGGACAGCATCCATGCCGCTATTCCGTACAGTACAGATCCTTGAGAAAATGACACAAATGCACGATTGACGTGACTTAATCAAAAAAGAGAAGGGAAATGGCGAGTTGATGGCTATCACACACTTAACGTACTACGAAGACCTTGAAACGCAGGGACCTTGGATAGGTTCAAATCAATTCACACTCATTCACGTTAGGGAAAGAAAACGCATTGAACAGCTAGCGAAGAAGATTGCTACTTTTATTTATTTGTCATTATCCATGATGAGAAAGTTGATGATGCAGTTTGATTGATATGCGAAGCCCAGATTTGGCCAACTTGCAAATCAAAAGCTTGTCACTTAGCGATAATTTTGCGTGAGAGGCTACGTTAACTGAGGCCTGCGAAATGAATCAAAATACGTAGCCGCAGCACATCTGTTCACATTACCACAACTCAGAGGCATCGTCGAAGCTGAACACTGCGCACAGCTATGAACTATTATGGCTGTTGCAAACAGAGGACTTTCGGTACTGGATCGGTGACATGCGCTGAAAAACAAAACGCTACGCACGTATTCTCCGCGTACTCCAAAAAGCACGGATTCATCGCTAAATGCAACACACACCACTGCATCACGCGTTCCGCCGCCTCTGCGTTGAATAAACACCAACTATAGACACATATGATGGTGATATGGGATGATACGAGCTTGAAGTTTGGTTTTCATAATTTGACACTTATAATCTCAGCAGTAGAACAGATGAATTGTGAATGATGAGCGTGAATGATTCATGAAATCCGGACTGAAGTTGCAAGAAAAAATCTTATCGAGAAAATGGCATATGAGAGTAGATAAGCGGAACACAGATCGTGACTCAGCAACTTTTCTTCATGCAACTAAACCTCTAAGAATAGGGTGATCGACAGAAGAGCAGAATCATCATGTGAGAGTACGTACGTAGAGTGATGCTATTTTCTAAAAAAGAGTTTAGTGGTGATATAATTCGCGCTTCTATCATTTGACAGCACAGAATTCTATCATCATTTACCACTGAGGGTCAAGGAAGCGGTGGTGAGTGCGAGAAGGATACGCCAGCAAGAACAATGGGAAAGGTAAAGTTCATTTATAAAATCGTGACGACGGATTTGACTGCGGTCCTTGCGCCCACAGGAGCATAACATCCTCATACAAGAGGCAACACCTCAAAGCTCAGCTCAGTCAATTCCAATGTACAAGCACTATCATGCCTAAGCAAAACCAGTCGAGTAGAGATTAAAACCAAGAACATGCGGTTGCCGGAAAGTGCGTGCGTGTCCGCGCGTCGCGCCATCGTCACGATTTTTCGAATGCCCTATGTAAGTGTAAAGATTCAAAAGCGCAAAAGAGATACTACAAGCATGGTTCCTTGAAATAATGCATGGAGAGACAAGAGCTCTCCTCTGAAGCACTCGTAGGCAAAAAACAACACAGACCCAAAGTTTTCCGCAATGTCTTTCCCAGGAAAAATAATTTCGGATACGTAGATTGCTTTCAAATAGCTTGAGATTTTTAAACTTCCCACGGACAAAGTGTAAATCAGGGTACACCGTTTTCATCCCGTCATTCACAAAAGCGGACAGAGAGCAGTTATCAGAAGCGGAATAGTGGCGCGGAGGCTATGATGCCTATGAGTCGCTGAAGTGCCACTGTAATTACGGCTTTTGAATGATGGAATTAACTACGGTAAAGTTCCACTTCTCCCTACGAGTTCTCACCAGCTGGTGAGATTTCATGTTAGGAAAAGAGGTTTTGAAAGTAACAGGGTAAAAACTTTAAGCTATGGCTGAAGCCAAAGAGACAAAATGTGCTGTGGCTGCTTTGCATGAGAAAATGGAGGTAAAAATTAGCACAGCGACTAACCACTTATGTTCTCTGACTCAGTTCCAAAGTTCTTTAGATGAGACTAATTCAAACATGACTCATAAATACAGTTTCTCTTCTGACTAGGTGTGTGGATTACACAGTTTGCATGGCATCACACGACTTATGTGTGCAATCTCAGATATGGAGTTGAATCTTTGAAAAAAGGCACATCATAGAAAGTGAATAAGACGGTAAAGAAATAGAAGCAATCGCAGAAACCATAAGTACCAAATTTGCCTCCACTTGCAGTTAGTTGTGAAAGTTTCATAAAATTTATATAGTGCACCAGCAAGTGCTTGTCAATTCATGAGGTGACTACGATGAGTCACTTCACGCTTCACAGACCCACTATTGACACAGCAGGTTGTAAATATGTTCAAGAAAAGAATGTGAAGTGTATGTTATATGTACACTTGCAAAGGTGAAGTATCTCTCGAAATCGATTGAAGAAGAATGCGCAAGTTTTTTTCTTCGCTTGAGAGAAGGTGTACTGGAAGATTCGATTAGCTTTTTAGGGCATAGCAAATGAATTTCGTTGCTGTCGCAAAAGACCAGAGATCGTACTCAAGGTTAGACAGATGGTTCGTTGTTGTTGGGTGCAAATTGTTAGTCATTAACACTTGTGGGAAGTGATCAGTGATCATGTCATATGACATTTTCAACTATTCGTTTCCATGAGACCTATTTCTATCCTGAATTTCCAATGTTGAAACGCTAAACATACACAAGTCATTCGCAGTTTGATATGTGAATATACACAGTATGCACGGCAACCGACGACACCTTGGTAATAATCCCTCAATAAACACTACGACTAATAAAAACCAACCAAATCAAAGAAGACAAGGAAACTGCGTCATGCACACTTTGAAATATGTACGAATGCACACATCAACAAAAAAAACCGTATACTGTAAATCCTTAGAATTTCCTACAAAAAATTGAAATTTCACAGTGAAAAGCCAAAAAGCTTTGAATAAGGATAAAAGCACATATTTCCTTCAAATCTGAAAGCGAACCTAAAATTCACAATTGCAGAGGGTGGGTCTCAAAGTTGATAGCAATTGGAAATGTGCATATTTTTACAGTGGTTTCACTCAGGAAATTACCGATTTTTGCCTTGTCGTTACACTGCGTCGTTTTTGTGCTTTTTCTTTCGTTGAAAGGGATCATGGCAGGTTTCTTACAGCCAAAACTGTGTAAAAAATTGTCGAATGGTGCGCATTTGTACCCGCGCAAAAGATTCTGAAACACTGCCATAACGAACTTCAGCAACATCGGCTCACTAGAAAAGATTAGGATGAGTTCATTCATGGCAAGCGCCGCTGGGCTGTGTTCCAAAATCGCTTGCGCGTAATGGTGTAAATGCACGCAAAGGGTCAAACGTGTCGCACATCAATGCGCGAAAAGGGTGTAAAAACGGGCAAACTGCACTGCATCGAATACCGCGCTTGGAGCGGAAATTCTTGACAAAGCAGATTCTTCGACACCCCGGGGGGGGGGGGGGGTTGAGGGGGCTACATTTCACTGTTGCAGCAATAAAAAAATCCTGAAATCAACGCCGACATGGATGACAAATTCCTTCAGGGCATGCGTAAATAAGTCAAGAGATCAAACGAATTAGGAAGATATGAAAAATCGAACTCCGCCGGCTTAGCAAGGAGGGTTCTCAGGCTGCAAGGATGGCGAAATTCGAGGAGGAAGGGCGGCGGCTGTTGCAGCGGCGGCGACGGCGGCCGCGGCGGTCGCAGCCGTGGCCAACGCGCGCAGCACTAGCGCATGCATCGAAAACCGCGAAACTTGATTGACCCCATGAAATCGAGAGAGAGAGAATAACGAGATGTGCGAGTCCGACACCCTAAATGACATCGTCGGCGGAAATCGCCGACCGGGCTCAGGCTGAGTGACGCCAGCCAGCTGCAGCCGTTGAATTCGCGCTGCCAGCCTCTACTTGCTGCCGTCTAATCAATCTTTGGTCCCACAAAGCACCAGTTGGGGGGAATAACATCGATGCTGTTTGTTTATTTATTTATTTATTGCATAGGGAAATCCCTATGGTAGAACAACAAACAACAAAAAAAGAAAACTGAACACAATAAAACGACATTGCTAAATTAAACACAACATACAGAAAGATAAAGTGTTAGTACGAAGACTGAAGGTAGCTTCTTAGAACCTTTTTGA